TTTTTTTTCTTATAAAAAAAAATAAGATCTGATTAGAAAGGAATGGCCTTTTCTAAATTTTTAAAAGTTAAATTTCTTAAAAATATTAAATGTCTTAAAACTATTTAATTTTAAAACAAAATAAATGAATTTTGAATAATATTGTGTTGGGAATGTGGAAATTGAATAATGTTGCATTAGAAAGAAAAAATTTTAATAGTGTTATATTGTAAAAAGGAAATTGAGGGGGTGTTTGGGATTGCTTATTTAAAACAACTTATGTTTTTTTTGTAAAAGTGCTTATTAACTTATGCGGTATCAAACCGAAGTTTTGTAAAAAATGTTTGGATTAGTTTATAGCGGTACCAAACTGCAATAAGCTGATAAGTTATTTTTTAATGTTTGGCAAATGTTGTTTATATCTGTAAAATGACCAAGAAGGACAGTCTTTCTATGGCCAAACGTCCTTGCTGTTCTGAACCTTCCACCGCCAAATCTCCACTAATGATGTCATCGGAACCTGACGACGATCGCTTTGACAACGATACGGTGTTGGAATCCTTCTTAGGTGTCTCCGATTTCGATTCAATCAACACCTCTTTCGACAGTCTCATCAAATCTAGGTCATCTGATTCCGATCAAAACGACTTGATCCAAATCGCTCTTCACCTCGTCTGTTCTCCTCGAGGCCGGAAAACGGTCCGATCGTAAACGATCTTCCTTTCACAACGCAGTCGTATGGCCTCTTCCTCCTGATCTCACGATCAAGGTAATTTCGAATTCTGTATCGATTGTGATTTCCGATGTATCACGTCGCAGAGGGTTATCGATCTCTAAGGTTAGAGTATCGATTTGTTCATCGTATAGGGTTATCGATTTCTAGGGTTAGGGTATCGATTTGTTCATCGATTGGAGAAGAGGCGATTTTGGAGAAGAAGAGATGAGAAGACGTACCTGATGGAGAAGAGGTGAAGAGATGGAGAAAGAGATATTAATGATTATTAGAGACAAGTGTTAGACAGGGTTAAAATGGTAAATCGGTAATAAGTCGATTTTCATCAGTCATTACGGATTAACTTATCAAAAACTGCTTATTACCGGTTTGACACCGATATAAGCAGTTTTTTTTTACCCAAACACTAAAAAACTGCTTATCTCCGGTACCAGACTGAAATAAATTAATAAGTCGTTTTGATAAGCAATCCCAAACAAATCATGAATATTAAAAATTTTAAACACAAAAAATTAAGTATCTGAAAAAATAAATTTAAATTTAAAAAAAATCGGATTTTTAAAAATAACTAGAAGAGTATTCGTGCAAATCTAGTTTTTGTGTAATTTTTTTATTATAATTTAATTTAGGTTCAATAACAAAATAATTTATATTTGGTTTAATTATAAAAATAATAATTAATTATTTTATTAGAATTCGATAATTATCCTAATTATAATTTAGATTTTTTATATTTTAAAAAAGATGTTTATCCTTTATTTGATTATGTTTATCTGTAAACATGAAGCTTTAATAAGTTGTACTTATGCATAATTACGTGTAATCTGAAATTTTAAGTAATATGCATCAATATGCAGTACTTCATGCATAAAAAATGATTTTTAAGAGTTTTTGTCAAATGTTTTATAATACAGTATAGATTTAAATTTTTGAGAAAAAAAAATATTTTTAAACAAAAAAAAAAATATATATATATATATATATATATATTTACACAAAAAAAACTTTTTAAGAAAAAAACATAAATTTTTAAGAAAAATAATTAAATTTATAATAAAAACAATTAAATATAAAAAAAAAAAATTAAGGCATTGGCGCCCTTACGCACCGTAAGATGGGTAAGAGTGGGACCCACCCCTTTATTTTCAAATTTTTTAATAAATAAAAAGTTTTAATAATTGTATTTTTAGTTCATGTATTTAGTAGGACAATGGATGATCATTTAATTAAAAAAATTAATTTTAGGGGTTTTCTATTCCCCATCTCCTCCTATTTCTTTTCTCCTATTTTTTTCTAAACCCCCACCTATATGATACAATAAATATATTTAAATTTATTTATTTTATTTTTMAATTTTAACTCTTAATATTTTTAGTTTTAACCCTTCAATTTTTTAAATACTTTTCTATTATATCCTCTAGGTTTTTTATCTATATTATAATTACATATATTAATTAATTATTATTATTATTAATTAATAAAATATTAAAAATATGTA